TTACAAAGTTTTGCCATTTGCTGTTATTACAAAACTTCAGCTGTTGTGCTCTTCAGTTATAATCAGGTGCTTATCAAGCCACATAAACTCAGAGAATTTCAAACTGAACTTTTTATTCAATCTTCAAGATTAGTTTGTTCTCATTACATTGACCATGCGTAGGAATTTCTTATATAGTTCTTATTTAGTACTGCTCATTTATTGCTCACTGTTTTCACTAAGTCTGCACTACCTAGCCCAGGAATTGAAATCACAATTACTATATCACCAAATTCATGAACTAATCCTTTAATCCATAAGTTTATTATCCTATAATGGCAGTCAGACATGAATCCATTTCTTCTTCCTTCACCTATGGGTTAAATAGCAAAATAGACTAAACTCTTTAGCATTGGGTGGTAGTCAGTCTAAAAGAAAACAATAAGGAACCATTCCATTATATTTTCCAAGAAGTTGTGGCAATTCAGAGTTGATAAAAAAGTAATGTAGGAAGAACCCTGATCACCTATATCCTGAAGGGATATGATATTAAAATAAGCTCAGAAGACGCCATAAAATTTTCCATTGTTTTATTTAAAAAAGTTTGTTGTTTTTATATTTATATGGCATCAGAAACATTTATTTTTACATAACTTCAATCAAAAAGATTCTTTTTAATTGTAACAATTGTTATATTAGTGCACATTAAGAAATTAGCAAAATAAGCAGAAAGTGTTATGTCAAAAGGAATTATTTTCCCTTGACACCATTATGACTATATACATTCTCAGCAATATTTACCGTTTTAAAAAGCTACTTTTAGAATTTTAATAAACCCAAACATATCAAATTTAGTTTATTTTCTTTCTTCTCCAGAATTGACATTATTTAATTATTCGACTGTTTATTTACAAGAATCATTTTTTACACTTTTTACATTGTTCAGACTGCTGTTCTCATCTTTACTCTCACATTCATGATGTTTTGGCCAATGTATGCTACAGCCTTCTTCAGGTGATATTTGTTGGAATTTCAAACTGAATCCTTTATTTGGTCCATCGGGATAGAGTGTTCTAATTCCACATACCATGCCTTTGGATATCTCAGTTTTGTTCTCTCTGCTGAGTCAATTTTTGGATAAATCAACCAATGCTTTTATCCACTGTCAGGCATAAAAGCACTGGTTGATTGATCCAAAAGCTGACGAGTTCAATCCCTGGCCTCGCTGGAAACTTGGAAAGTTATAAAGACATAATAACTAAAACTGGGATATCCAAAGTCATGGTATATGGAATTAGAACAATCTACCCTCATAGACTAAATAAAGGGTTCAGTTTTCAATTTCAACAAATATCACTTGAAGAAGGCTGGTACAACAGATGAAATATTGTGAATGCGATAGTAAAGATGAGGACAACTGTAAATAACTATATGTAAATAGTTAAATACCTCATCTCAGAAATATAGGCAGATGTTGAAGAATATTATATTTACAAGATTATAAAAATAAGTGAACCAACTACAATGCAATATTTATTATTTATGATAGTAATATAATGAAATAACTATGTAAACAATTTTTTCATTCATAAATTTATAAAAGGTCTGAGCTATAGAACAAGAAAATAAAAGTAATAGCCTATTTTACAATGAAGATATAAAAATAAGTAGATGAAACCCTGCTTGGAAAATTAGAACATGTAATGAGAGATATAAAAAGAATCTGAGAAGAAAATGATTAATATCCGGAAAATGTATTTATTCAAAATTTACAATTACAGCTACTCATCATTATGTGTTGATTATCTTGTTTCATAGTTCAGATATTTTTATAAATTTATGAATAAAAAAAATTTCTTTTCATAGTTATTTCTTAATTGCACTGTAGATGGTTCACATATTTTTAGAACGGTGTAAATATAAAATTATTCTTGGAAATAATCTAATAAAAAAAAAAAAAAAAAAAAAAAAAAAAAAAAAAGAAGTGTTTAATATCTTTTGTTGCTATTTTTTTTTTGTAGAAAAAAAATGTATAAATCAGTTTCATGCTTGGATTTTATTAAAATTCTAAAAACAGCTTTTTAAAACAATAAAAATTGCTGCAGGGGGAAACTAATAGCAATGTTAAGAGAAAAACAATCTTTTTGATATACCATTTTTGCAGGTACATTTGTTAAACAATACCATTTTCATCTCAAATGCTTTACCATATATACTTGTGTGTAAGCCTACTACATATATAGTGCAACACCCTGAATTTTTCTGTGAAAAATTTTTTTTTATATAGCTTGTATATAATGCAACCCTAGCTTCTGAGTTATGCTAGTAGGCTTACCATAGTCAAATATTGGAGGACATCATCCTGGACATATTTCCAAGTTCTCCACCAGGTCTTGAACTCACAACTCTTTGGGTCAGGTCACTGGATCTAATCAATGCCTTTATCCAGTGTGCCATGTGTCCTTAAGGACATCTGTGTATGAATTTCTGGGACTTATAAACTTAATGGAGAAGTGAATTAAGAGGAGATAACTGATAACTGACATCCATTAGACATGGCATGTGGAACTAGAACAGTCTACCCCAGCGAGCGAAATAAAGGTTTCAGTTTGACATTCCAACCACCTTAAGAAGGCCGGAGCATACAACAGCTGAAATGCTTTGATAAATATGGCAACAAAGATGAGGACAATAATGTAAATAGTGTACATAATACCACATCTCAGAAATATAGACAGATACTAAATGGTCTTCATTCTTTTTTTTATACAAAGCTACCACAAAATGGTGAGAAACAAAAAAAACAAAAAAAACTTTTAAGCAGCACAAATAGAGAATGACATTTTGCTGTTCATATACCAACAGAAAGAAAGAAAGAATCTAGGCTATGGGAGGCAAACTAAAGGAGCTTACTTGTACCGTTAATGTTAGCCAAAAGTACCATGAGAATGTAGTCTTACCAGGTAGGTTACAGTCACCGAAAATGCATGAAATTTAACCGCTTAAGAAATTTACCTGTGTATAATGCTCCCTATTTTTTTTTTTGTATAAAAAAAAAAAAAAAAAAAAACTGATCATAAAATCTCCTACTATACTCAAGTATGTACTGTATTTACTTTAAGGAAAGTAAAAATGAGAGTAAGACAGAAAAAGCAATTCATACAGTTTATGGAGAAGCTTTGAATATTTATATTATTTACTTGCTGACTATTGTCCCCATCTTTGTTGTTATCAAAACATTTTGGTCATTGTGTCCTCCAGCTTTCATTAGTTGATTGTCGATCCAGGTAACCTGAACTCAATCCTTTATTTAATCTACAGGGGTAGATTGTTCCCATTCCGCTGTCCATGTCTAAGGATATCTCATCTAGTTATTTAATACTGCATACTTATTGCTCATCCAGTTTCCATTGAGTTCAAATACATACTTCCCTGCCTAGGGATTGTACCTGAAATTACTATGTCACCAAATTCATGAAGAAACACTTTAAACGACTAGGCCCGTGGTTCCTACTGCAGGGTGCACACCCCACAGGGAGGCAATTCAAGAATGAATTATTAACAGTGAATTTTTTTTCTAATGTGTATTTGGGAGTAGGAGTATGTGTGCGAGTTAATACATACATACTTCCTTAAACATACAATTTCTGCTTTGCCTGACTACTATTGTTGATACAGGCAACCATTTTTTTGGTGTGATGATTCTGTAGTTCTTTCTAATATGTCAGTTATCTGTACTCACTTTCAGGAAATATCCTATTTGTTAGACTTTTTTTCATTTTTTTCCCACTCAATACAAGGCCCAAGAGTCACTCAATGTAGAGGGTTACTGAATGACTTGTATTTTTTGTAAGTGTATATTATAAAGATATGTGGCTAGATAATGGTTGACCCTTGACTTGAAGAGTTTAAGATTGTATTGGCCAAAGAAGTGTCCTCTTGGCAGTCTTTCTACAAAGTAGCCATTCTCAAAAAGATGTCAGTGTGGAACTTCCTTCTCATCAATGGGATATGAAAGGAATGAGAATGGTTCATTCCTGTGTACATGGTATAGCAGGTCTTAGCTGTAAAGGTCTGAATTAATGGAACAAGGGAATGCAGAACATTTTCCTTGAAAAAAACAAAAAAAAAAAAAACAAAACAAAAAAAAAACAATAGAATTACAATTTTGCATCCATGTTTTAGTGTGGAAAATAATTCATTGTTACTGAATATTTATTTTTGAAAAGATTTTTTTCTAATTTCAAGTTGATTAGAGTATTAGAGCTTTGTCCAATATTAAAGCAATCAGTTTATTCTGAATAAAGTGTGTCAAATGTAGTTTAACTCATATCCTCCTGTTGTCAGTTTAAACTTTTCTTTTTTTAGTTGAGATCAAAACAAGCAAATCAAAACTTTATTGAAACAAAACAAGTTCAGTTGACCATTGATGGCAATTCCAGAACAATGTAACTATAAACAATTTTTTTCTATCCTCTGCCAGCTGCAATGATGGAGAAAGCATTACCTCAAACCATCGCCAGTGAGACACGCTGCAAGAGCCACTCCGTTTCGCGAGACTCATCCCTTAATAGAGATGCAATCGCGCCAATCCTCCGAAGGAATGCCATTGAACGAGGGCCAATAAACCCTGGAGTCTCCACTGCCACAGGAAAAAAAAAAAAAAAAAAAAAAAAAAAAAAAAATCTATCAGCAAGAGAAGAATATTTAACTATTTTTTTCATCTCTGCATCTCGGGCGACATATCCCAGCTCAACCGCAAACCTGATCTTTTTTTATATATTGGGATTGTTTTGCTCAAAGTTCATATAGTTTTCAATTTTAGATAAAAACTTGGAAATTTGTCAACATATTTCAGTAAAATTTTCACTTTTCAAAAAAATAATATATATATATATATATATATATATATATATATATATTAGTTTAAACTGACACCAGGAGGATATAGATTAAAAAAATGTGAGATAGCAGTTTAAGGTTTTACTGATTTTTATAAACAGATGACTGATTTTACTCACCAATATTTGGGTGTTTCAACAATCTACAAATTCTAGCTTCTCTTTCAAGTTTCTGGTGATCTGGAAAAAGGGAAGAAAAGAAAGTTGATGAGAAAGCTGTTGAAAAAAATCATTCAAAAACTACAATAATGATTATAAGAAATTGATAAAAACTTGGCTATCGAACAAAACATGTGGCACAAAGAAAACGATGGTAAAGTAGAAATCAGCTGTAATATCTGATACTGAAAAGCAAATATTTTATCAACTACCCAAATAAGTTGTTCTAAATACATTGATTTTCATCAATATTATGAGAAACTGGTACTATAAGCAAAAAATATCAGATTTCAGTATTTCCTGACGTTTAAAATAAAGGATATTATTTTAAAACTGTTTATCATAAAGGAAAAAAAAAAAAACAAAAAAAAAAACAAGTTCATTGGTAATTGCAACAATTCTGGTATTTAGGTCTTAAAGTCATGTCTGTTGGTAAAATATCTTTTGTAGCTCACTGCATAATTCTTGCTAAATTCTAGGCCATTCTCAGACAAAGTATAACTAGCAAACGTCTACTTAAACATATCAAAGAGTGTTTGTTTCAGACTCCTATACTTTGAAGCACTGGCAGCAGTAAAAGAATCTGAAGTAAAAAAAAAAAAACAAAAAAAAAACAAAAGACATATTTCTAAAAAATATAAAATCATACATAAGCACATATATTATACCGAAAAAACATTTCTAAGAGTCACTCTTGTACATTACTCTATTTTGTATTAATGCTGTTTTTTTTATTTCTCTAAGTAAATGTGATAAGTTATTCAGTCAGCACATTGGAAAGTGTTTCAACATCTGCACATTTAAAGAGTCATTCACAAACAAGCTTAAGAAAAAAAACAGTGAACATAACATGAGAGTTGTTTCGGCTTGAAGGTACATTGTAAATTAGTGCAATTTCTCATCTTCAGCAACCTTGTAAACATCTTTTATCAAGCCTTTCAAAACGTGTGCTGTGCTATCTTACAAAAGTGCTGTAGGTCTTCAAGCTTTTACAGGAAATGATGCAATTTCATTGATAGTTCTTTTAATATTCTTGCTCAATGTGTATACTATGACTGTTCCGTAACTTGAACATTTCTTTTCAGATTAGTAGAACTTCTTTCACAAAATACTCAATAGATAACTAGGGTTATAATATTCAATATATCCAGAAAAGTTCAAGTGACTTATCTGATTAGCCAACTCTAGAGTTTTGTGTCATCAGGGCCAGATGTTTGATAAATCTATTGAACTTATTGACAGGTTTCATATTTATACTCTTTCAGAATGAACAAATGCTAATCCTTTCAAATTTTAGATTCTTAACACACTAGAGATTTGTTAGAAACAACATTTTAATTTAGAATCAGTTAATTTTCTTTTAATATCATACATATATTTGAATGTAATATCCTATAATAAAGAAATATATATAACTGCTAAATAAATGCATTCACATTTTGATGCATATCAATGCATTTCATCAGGTGGTGGTATGTGAATGCATTTTTGTAGCGGTTACATATGTTTCGTATGTAATATCCTATAATAAAGAATTATCGCTCTACCATTGTATTGAGCCCTATTTTTAAATTAATGTTATGAACATTTGAATTTATATTTGATTCATTCTCATTTCAAAAAATATATATATATATATATATATATATATATATATATATATATATTTATTACTTGCTTACTTTTTTCCTTACTAGAGTTTGAATTATGTCACTTTTGTGCCCATAACATATTTTTTGAATAACCTTTCAACTATGATGAATATTCATGAACATTCTTAAATTTAAAAGCCTTGATAAACCAATGACATCCTTGGTCTTGTATATAAACACATGCAACAAAATAAATCCTACATTTGCTTTGACAAAGTCCTTTTGAGGTTGAAACATGTCAACTAAAATTTTTCCTGTTGTTTTTTTTTGTTCATTTTGTTCTATTACAGATATACACTATCTGAAAATAATATATAATGTAAAATTTATTCTCAGTGTATTTAGGCAGCAAATGTTCTTTGTGGCAAATATTATTAAAGACAATAGATATTTTGTGTTGATTAAGTTTAATGATGGACTTTTCCAAATTACAAATAATCCTTCTCAGAGGAGGAAATTGTCAGAAATTGTCCAAAGTTCATTTCAGAAGAAAAGTACAAGAATATGGTTCAAACTTTCAACTTTCTTAAGTCTGAAAAGGATTATTTGTAATTTGGAAAAGTCAATCATTAAACTTAATCAACACAAAATATCTGTTGACTTAAATAACTTATTTTATGGAGTTTGACAACTCATTGGTGAAGATGTTCTCTTGGAAATGACAGCAGCATTGTGAACAGTATTCGAGATTGCTTTTAATTCTTTCAAAATGTCACCAAAGCAACAAATATTTAGAAAACTTTTCTGCTTGCTTAAAAATTGGATTTTGTGAATGCATCTGATAATTAAAAAAATACTTATTACTGAAAGAATATTAATTTGATGCTGTTTACAAAAAGAAATTTTTAAGGCACCTTTTATCATAACTATATGAAAATATATATTATAATTATTTTTTAAAGAATATGATTCCTTCACTACATAAGAGTTCTCATGTTTCAAAAATGAGAGCCGAAACCCTAACTATAATTTTTAGAATTAAATTGAATTAAGGTATCAAGCCATGTTTCATCCTCAAGTGAAAATTTAGGAATAACCAATCTTGAAATTTATGCATTTTTATAAGCATGTTTGCTCACAAAATTAATTACTATGGAAACGGCTGGGGTGACCACCTTGATAAGGGGTCTGACAGTTAATTTTTATCCACATATCAGTCACCTTCGGAAAGAGGCCAAGCTGAGGTAGGGTGGGGTATCCATTTCAAAGAGATTTGGCATTCATGTACGCACATTGTCTGGTCAGTTACAGCGAAAGATAGCTTTTGGCACCATGCTATATTGTGAAGTGTCTAGAGAATTTTGTTTTATTTTATTTATTTATTATCCAGATGGCTGTTTCATATATAAATGCATCGCACTGAACTACTATTTGTTTTTTTTTGACAACTTCATAGAGGGTTTTTCTATTTAATGATTGGGTTAAGCTTTTAAGCCTTTTATTAAACTATGAAATTTAATTTATTTTTTTTTTATGCTAATTATTTAATGTGAAAATTTGTTGATGTTGGCAAAAAACTTAACTCATGTCTATGGTTTAATAAATTTTCATTATTTAGAAATTTAATAATGTGTAATTATTTTATGAGGCATAAAGGGCATGGGTCATCACAGATTTTACAAGTTCTTGTTCTATTTATTATTTTCCATTTAACTTTTGGAGTTTTATTCATTTCTTTTAAATGCCAAAAATATTTTGATAGTGATGTCTGATTGCTATTTCTAATATTATTCAAGAAAATAGGATATTATCTACATCTATATAGCTCTAGTTCTAAAAATTATGAACTTTTGAAATTAGAAATCAGTATTCTCAAGAATAAAGAGAAGATTCCAAATGATTATATTTGTTAACTCCTGGACAATTATAGAAATTACAATATAATAAATTATAATACTGACAAAAAGCATTCTCGATTTAAAGTTAAAGAAAGTGGCAGGTTTTATATAAAACCTTAATGAACTGTATGATATGACAAATCATTTTTCAAAGATAAATTGAAAATCAAAAACTCAATATCTCTCATCTCAATATTAGGTCACCAACAACATGACTATGCAAATATAAGACTACAAAAGCAAGAAAGAAGTCCTAATCCTTAATGTTGCAACAAATTTATTGGTAGAAGATTCTTCATTGTATATTCACGATTCTGTGTCCATTCTATAAAAGAATGCAATGTGTAAAGTAAAAAGAAAAAAAAAAATTAAACTATAAAAATATACCACCTTATATTCAAGATAACAAATCTTGTAAGATCTAAGGGAAAATAAAATTTCAATGAATTTTTATTTTTTTTTTACAGTTGACTGACTTAAGTGTCTACATAAAATCAGAAGCAAAAATGTTTTTTGCTTTAATCGAAAAACAATTGAGAGGAAATTTGCTCATTCCAACCTGATGTGCTGATTACTGTTATCTTAACTTGTTCATTTTGATTGAATAAATCACTGTCAATACTGATAGCAACTTGAATAATAATAAAGTTCCTGATGTTGCCTTATAATCAATAATTGGGAAAATAAAACAGTTATATTTTTTTTTTTTTTTTTTTTATTGAGTGAAAATAAAGAAGGCCAGTCCTTTACACTTTAACTAAAATACTGAGACAAGCTCTAACTAACCAAACTAAGCAATCATTTGAAATATATCTTGAATTAAATATTTTCTACATTAGGAGTGTGATCAAACTAATGAAAATATTTTTGCTATGCAAGTGTCAATAACATTTAATGAAGATGAACCCTGAGTATACAGCAAAATAAGAACCTGTTTTAGATATGGCAGAGTGGGGAAATATGCATAAAAGACGGGTTAGAGAGACAGAGTAACCAATGCTATATCATAGAATTTTCTATGGTAAAATAACAAATGAGAATTAACAAAAAGTTATGTTCAGATATTCAAATATAATAAGCTCATGTGCTTACATGTATTATACAGTTGATAAGGCAGTGATGTTGATAGGTTTTTAATGTAGTCAGCCCCTGAGACCCATGTGGTGATTTGAGTAGTGGAAATTCAGTTGGTCCCAACTAAAGTTTCTTAATAAATTATTGGTTGGTTGATTGAGTGATTGATTTTGTTTTGTGGCATATCAACCTCCATGGGTTATTTCATGTTGAAATCTAAATATTTTGTATGTAATTTTATGCTTTCAATTATAGATATTTTATTTACACTATTTACATTGTTCAAACTGTTGTCCTCTTTGCCATAGTTTGTCATATTCACGATGTTCAATAAAAACTTGGAGAGTTGAGTTAAAGGGAGATAACTGATACTGAGACATCCGGAAGAGGCATGGAACACGGAACTAGAACAATCCACCCTGGTGGATGAAAAAAAGGGTTCAGTTCAAAATTCCAATCACCTGAAGAAAGCCAAAGTGTACAACAGCCAAAACATTATGAATATGGCAACAAAGATAAGGACAGTAGTCTGAACAATGTAAATAGTGTATATATATATATATATATTACAATACCTCATCTCAGAAATATAGACAGATACAGGTATTTTGTACATGATTTTAGACTTTCAGAGTAAAGGTATGTTTTTGTTTTAGAGATATATTTTGTAGATCATACAAGATATTATATACAAAATATCTGTCTATATTTCTGGGGAGGACCTAGGAGCAATGGCATTTAAGAGGCAGTTCCCCTCTCTTCAAAACCTCCAATCTCCTGATTAGTGGCCTTGCTGCCAGTTGTAGGTTATCATCATACCCAGGACAATAAATTGTAGTGTTATTAAATGATATTAATCTGACAAGTTTCCACTTAATTGACTCTCCTAACAACTGGAAACAATACTACAAATTTTAATATTATCACAGCCAGTCATAAAAAATGCCAGTTAAAACATTTACAATAATAGTTTTAAAAAATATTTCATAATATATTTAATACCAAAAATACAAAATGCCTAAAAAAAGATATCTAAATACTAATTGCTATTAAAATCTATCATAATTCATTTGACAAATGATTCAGTTTCAGTTACGGAAAGAGTATATTAACTATGTTTTAATTTAAATGTGGTTGCATCCTTGGACTGAATAACTTTGATTACTTAGTATCAACAAATTCTTTTTACTACCTCATAAGTGTTACTGGTTGGTCTGTGTGCAATGTATAGTTTTTCATGGAGAACTGAGGTGAATCCCTGGAATGCACAGATAGGGAGATGCATCATTTTAGATTTTTATGCGTCAGGAATGCAGGACACACACCTAGCAGCATATCTGATGAGGTTTTTTTTAAATCAAAATGTGGCAATATATAAAGCAAAGAAGAAACTGTTAAAAAGATTAAGAGATTTATACATTGAAACAATTCATAAGTAAAGCAAAAATGTGTGAAAGACAGAGAAAGCCTTCCTTAGTCTCAAATAAACAAATTTATTTCTTACCCCACCCCCAATTTCTCACTCCCCAATCTGAACAATGGTAACAGGTTAGAAAGCAAACTTATAAAAGTGAAGTTATAAAAATGTACATGAGTCTGTGCAGGTAGAAAAATTAACAAACTACAAGAAATTTAATATCCTATTGAGATGAAAGTTACTTGGGTAACAAAAAAAGATATATAATCGCCATGACTGACCAAATTATCATGTGCCAATTTAGATCTACTGGTCAGAGCATTTTTCTTTTTGTCATTAAATGCCACTACCACACAGGCTGTTCCAATTTTTCTTTTTCTCTGAGATGTTTTGCCAATCAAGGCTAGAGAGTCCAGTCTGCCCTGTTATTTAAACCACTTTTACAAAGGTATTTGCATGAAAGGAAAAACAACCTTGTTCAGAATTTGAATTCAGCATGCCAATCCTACTACACACACACATCTTTCTCTCATATATTTATTATAGACACACACACACATATATATATATATATATATATATATATATATATATATATATATATACAAACATGCAAAAGTGGATCAATAAGACACAGAATTTTGATCTGAAATTTTCACTCAGTGAGATCGATAGAAAAATATTGGGTAAGTGCATTGACATGAAAAGTGATTATGTTGAAAATATTTGTTGCTGGTCATTTGGTGATGAACCAATAGAATGATAAGACAATTGAATTTCCATCTCAAGTATCAGATTGTTAAGATTTGTAACTAACTAGAAAGCATGTGTCACTAAAAACTGAAAGAAAATCAGCTCATAGATGCAATGCAAGGGAGGTAACTGTGTAAGTTTTGATTTTCCATATACTTAGAACTACTGATTTAATAGATGAAATATCTCAATTGAAAAAATTTGTGGCTCCAACTCTTAATTTAATCAATTATTCTTTGACTCATAGCACATCGTTCCACAAAATTTAAATGAAATTCAGTTAAAACTTTTGGAGATTATGTGTAGACAGACAGGTATGGCTGAATACAATAACCACTGTCAAACATTATTGATATTGACTTCAAACTCAACAAAATAGCTTCTCTATTAGCAAATAGTTACATACTTGTAAAATATATGATATAAATATGAAGAAAAATAATTGAAAACACAATCAGTTAAAATCAATGATGCAGCAATCTGCATACAATTTAAGTCCTTTGATATACTGACTTCAATCATAAACCAAATATAATGTTGAATTTATAAACAGAATCTGCTTGAAAGATCATTATGAACCCATAGAGATAATCAGAAAAATAAACAATATTTTAATTCTCTTGCATAAGAGATGAAGCCTAAGAGATATCTACTAACTGGTTGGTCTTGGAAAGTCAGTATCACCTTCTGGCTTTAACTGACAGTAATCTTTCAAGTTGCCACAACATCTTACTAAAAGTGTCCAGATACTCTCTTAGAGGAACGGACACTAATAATCTACTAATTAAATACACCAATAACATCTTAGATATTATGTTTTGTTTTTCTTTAACAAACTTCATCTCTGTTCACTTTTTCCAAGTCACATCTGTCAAGTGGAAAAGGTAACCATCACAAATCAGCAGAGAAATCAGAGGTTAAATTTAATTAAGGATTTGAAATTAATCTTTGTATTGTTCAAAGTGGAGAGAAAGAAAATTAAATAGAAAGAACATACCACCTGACAAACATCTACATTGGTGAGGAAAAGAAATGAACTAGAAAAAAAAAAATAAATAAATAAAAAAAAAAAAAATTTGTTTAATTTTTACCAACAATCAGAAAATATTTATACCATTTACACCATTCAGACAGTTGTTCTCATCTTTGTCATATTCACAGTGTTTCAGCCATTGTATGCTCCAACTGTCATCAGGTGATATATTTTAAAATTTTGAAACAAACCCTTTATTTAGTCTATGGGAGTAGATCGTTCTAATTCCATGTGCCATGATCTTTTTTTTTTGGATAGTTTCAGTTAATTTTCTTTTAGTAACTTAACAACTCTGAGTCAAGTCACTTTTTAGATTACTCAACCAATGCTTTTATCCACTGGGCCATGTGTCCTTGGGGATATCAGTGAGGGAATTTTAGGGACTTGTAAACCTGATGTCTCAGTAACCTTTTTAGCAGAGCTCATGTTACAATTTCTGTTATTGTAGCTCTCTGTATTCAAAATTCCAATATATATCACCTGAAGGTCGGAGTGCACAATGGCTGAAACGTTGTGAATATGGCAATAAACAGGAGGACAACAGTCTGAACAATGTAAATAGTGTAAATAGTTACAATACCTCATCACAGAAATATAGACAATCAGAAAATGTTTGACATTTGTAGAAAAGTAGTATATGAAGGAATTCAGTGTCATGTTCCTTTGTCAGTACAAAGGAAAAATCTGATTAAATCTTTGAATTTTTATTAAAACAATCAGTCAGTTATGCCATATATGATACACACTTAGGCGATCATGTATCTTTCAAACATGACTGACGAGACTGATTTTTTTTCCTGCAGTAGGTTGCCATTTCTTTCTGCAGCAGACTAGTTGCCATCCAACGCTATAGGACCCAGTCTGTTCTGCTATTTACCCATAGCTGGGGGTAGAAGAGGAGGGGGATTCATACCTTTCCCAAGGGTATTAGTACATAAGTGAATGTAATTGATTTGAGTGTAATTCAAACTCAGCTCTAATTTCTCAATCTGAGCCACTATCCACTACTCCACCATGCCTCCTATTACAATCAATACATTCTTTAAAAATAATGGGCACTTATTAGAGTAACCAAGTGTGTAAGAACTTTTCTTGTGACTGCATTCAATGTGAGAATAGCCTAATGAATTCAACTATTGGTTCATGAATTTGGTCATATATTACATAGAAGTCCAGCACAATTTTATTTTATTTTTTTTAAAATAATTTCTCAATTCCTTAGTATCTAACTTTTTCTGAAAAACATCTTTCACCTTAAAATTTGTATATCGCACTGATCAGAGAGTTGAATGCCTGCTCTTTAATTTTGACATCCTCAATGTGCTACATCTTGGGCTCTCCCTTTTGCTCACCACCATCTATCCCATCTTCTTACAAGTAATAGTTAGCCATTTCTTCTTGCTTTCCTTGTCTAATAGTTCTTTCAATTTTCATTCTGAATCTGTCATCAGCACAGCTATATCCTTGTAATGCCTCTGATTCTTTTGGAATCATCATATATATATATATATATATATATATATATATATATATATATATATATATATATATATATATATATAATCATTCATAAGATCATATAAGTAAGTATATTAAACAAATATACTTATATGACCTTATGAATGTTTATAAAAAGAAAAAGTACTCTGCATTTTTGGATGGTATTTTGAAAAACAGGAAATTAATTAGTCATGAAAAAATTTATTTACTAACAATTTTTGTCTTTTTTCTCCAATGAAGAGAATGTCATGAATAAATCTATAAAATGCAATGAAATGATCAGAAATGGACAACTACTGATCGATTTTTTTTTTTTTTTCTTTTTTTTACAGCTTATCAACCTTTTGAAGAATATTTAAAGTCAGAGAATATTTTTAGATTTTAAGGATTTTTTTGGATAGAATAATGATTTTTACTGATACATATTCTACTAATTAACCCATAACTGGGCCTTAGAAGAGGTGGATTCATAACTTTTGTGTATAAGGGAATATGACAAACCTGACTGGAATTAGAACTTGGCTCTCTGATTTCTAATTCTGAGCCAATATCCATTACAAAATCTAAACACCCAAGCTTACAGCACCTGGTATTCCCAAGTGCTCACCTATCTAGGTATCGACCCAGCTCAACATTGCTTAACTTCAATGTTCATATGAAAACTGGTATTTCAATGTGATATAGCCATAAATCATAAGGACATACAAGTATATTTGTTTATATACAAAGAAAAGTATTCTGAATTTTTGAACGGTATTTCAAAAAACGGGAAATTAATTAATCATGAAAAGGTTTATTTATCAAAAACTTTTTTTTTTTTTTTAATGACGAAAATGTCATAAATAAATCTATAATATCCAATGAAATGATCAGTAATGTCCAAGTGATTTAGTACTATGACAGTCACACATTTCAACCAATTTTTATTTAAATAGGTTAATATATGAAACTGGTTTCTTTTAGTCAATACAGACTGATAAGAATCATACTAATATTGTTTAAGAAAACAATTGACAGAAGGGTTCTGTTTATGAATCTAAAGATTTATAAATATTGTGACATATATAGGCTATATAAAACCAAATGCAGTGAAATATTTGATATACAATTTTTAAATAAATACTTTGGATTGGGTTTATTACCGTTTTTGCACAAGCCTGCTTTCAGGTCTGTGCGAAGATGGTAACAGACCCAACACAGATAGGAAATGTAGGCCCTCTTGACTCTTTAAAATTGATATTCTTTAACAAAGGATCCTTTTTTTACCTCTACCAAAGAAGTAGATACCCTCAAAATCAAATCAAAATCACTTGATTCACTCGATTCTGGTCTAAATTTGATACTAATAAATCTTTAGCTGCAATTAAAACTGCTGTTGTTGATTAAAACCTAAAATTCTATCAACTTTATTTTCAGTCAAAATTAAATATGACTTCTTTTAAGTGAGAAAAATGGAATGTTAAATAAAGCCTATTCAAGTTTCAGCTGACTACCCTGTAATGAAACTGCATAAATGATTTAATTTTTCACTTTAAAATTCTCTATGAATACAATAGGTTAAGTTTGCTTGGACTAAGTTGCTAAAAAATATTTCTCAAAGAGAAGTAAAGTACAAGAGTGCTTCAATGTCTGCTGCTTGACAGTTATTAGTTAAATTTAGATCTGATATTTTCAGTATAATATTTGGTCTATGTAATTAATAATCAACACTGAAAAAGAAGATTATGTTGAAAAATAAACATTTGTTGCACAAATCTTTTTTATCATGAGGTGACTATCATATATACTCATGGATAAGCTGACTTCTGTGCTACATTGAATTTTTTTTTACAGGAATTTAAAACCCTCCAGAAAATTTTTTTTACATATATTACAACTGGTCACAGAAAATGCATGATTTTTAACCTCTTCAAAAAAAACAAATTAACTGTGTATAGTGCAACCCCCTATTTTTTTTGTATAGAACACCAATCATAAAAACTCACTATACTCAAGTATATATGGTAATTGATGAACCTACATACAAGAGCATATCAATAAGTCTGCTACCTAAGAGAGTTATAAATTTTGATCTGAGAATTTCACTATATAATGTTCAGCTGATGTGATTAATATTTATCACTGAATTAAATAAATTAAATACACTAACAAAGACAGATTATGTTGAAAATATTTAAATAAAATGTTTTTATTTATTAAAAAAAAAAAAAAAAAATTCAATCATTGGAGGAAAGTTCATTTCTGTGAGCCAAAATTTGAAAAATATAAAAACAAAATAGTCAGTGAATAAATTCTAAATGTTACAGATTCTTCTATCTAAAGTCCTATTAAATTTACTAGTTAACAAATATTTTATTACGACCATAATTGTAACCATCCATAAATCCTATGCTAACAGTTTCTTCTCTCGCACTTCTCACTTGTGAAAATCTCTTTTTGCTTTCCAGTAGTCAACTTTGATCTTAAAAATTTAAATTTAATATCTTCATAATTCATGTCCTTTTATTGTTCTATTTCCTTAATAAGGTTTTTCTTTTCTCATATTCTTTCACACCTTGTGTCTTAGTGGCTTTTGCATTAGTTGGAGTGAAATGATTTTAAAAAAGACAAAAAAAAACAAAAAAAAACAAAAAAAGAAACAAAAACGTGTTACTGCCTGTTTCAAATTCTTTTGAAGACAAATGATTTATTTGAATGAGAAAAAAAACTGCTATTTAACAGTACAAATTATAATAACCTATACAAAGTATAAATGCACAAATAAATTGATGTTCTAATGAAAATTAAGTAAATATTTAAGAATAGAAATCAATATTACATTGCAGAACAAAAATTTTACCATTTCCACTTCAAATATTGAATAATAGATAAAAAACTAGAGTACAAGTGAGTTACAACATTACATACATATATATATATATATATATATGATTATTATATCCTCAAAACATAAGTTGATATTACCTTTTTTTTTCTTTATTATTTACCTAATACAAGACCCGAATATCAATGAAGGTTACTGAATAGAAATGCTGTAAGGACATATAGGGAGGTAGCAAGGGTAGCACATTATAAGGATATGTAAGATAGAAATAGTTGATTCTTGACTTGAAGAGGTTAAGATTGCAGTGATGAGGTGAAGCATCCCCTTGGAAGACTGTTCCATATTGCAACAGTTCTGGGGAAGAAGCTGAGTGGAACTTATTCCTTACCAATTAAGTGTGTGCGCACACACATATATATATATATATATATATATATATATATATATACACACACACACTTTAAAAATCAGGAGGTCTAATGAAACGTCTATGCATAATTAATGTCTGTTGCATAAACTAATTGCTTTAGGTGGCCCCAACAGATAAAAAAAAAAAAAAAAAAAACAACAACAACAAAGGATTGAGGTCAGAAGAACATGCAAGCCATGGAATCAGTCCCCACTACCTATCCATCATACATCTCCTGTATGATGGACTGAGAGAACATATGCACCTACCAGACAGTCACCTACAATTCCAGCCCACACATTAATTGTAAACTGATATCTAGCCTGTATTGTGCCATGAGGATTCTGATCCATACGCAAATGTTGGTTGTGCACATTTGTCATGCCATCTCTTACAAATGTTGCCTCATCTGTAAACAAGACTGAAGAGACAAACAATGGATCGGTAGTTTGTGTAATAAGCCATTAGCAAATATTCTTCAGTGGTGAGTGATCAGAGGACGAAAGACCCTGCCCACATTGCAAATGACACAGATGCAGAGCTGCTTTTGAAGTACCCTCCATGCAGTACTATGAGATGTACAACATGTCAGGGCCACTTGATGTGTGCTGATAACTGGATCATCTCCAACAGTCTGTAGAATATGTTCTTCATCGTTAGGTGTACGAGCAGTCTTCCTCAATCCATAGTTTGTGGTGAGCATGGATCCTGTCTCAGCAACATGACAATAAACAGCAGCAAAGGTTGGATGACTTTGCTGTCTTTGGTCTGGAAATGTAATCTGGTGCAGCCTCATGTTCATCACAATTCATGTGTCCATATGCAAAAAGCATATCTGCCTGCTCACAATATGAATATCCTGCCATTGTTAACACTTTTCAGTTAAGTCACTATACTACACACGTTAAATGTTGAAGACAGACTAGCTCCAAATATACGCAAATGACATATGTAACCTAGTCTAAATGAAAATACAACACCTACCGTAAACTTTCTTTAAACATAATAACTCAAAAATGAAGGATTTGGAGAGATGTGTTTATGTGGACTTTTGTCCTTGTTTGGTCTGAGGAACCAGCCTCCACAGTTGTAAAAGTATTTTTGAGATATATATATTTGGATTTATAAAAGAATTAGATTTAAATGTTATTTGTTATTTTGTCTATTTAATCCAATATTATCTCCAGCTATAGATTTATTTATCCTTTGTTTTTCTATTTCAAATACTCCCAATTTAAAAAAATTTTTTTTTTTTTTTTTTTACTGTATAGGTCACCCTGTACAAGGCCAAGAGGCCACTCAAAGCAGAGGGTTATGTTAAGAGGTAGTTTATATGGATAGGAGGGAAAGATAACAGTTTACTCTAGTCTTGAATAGATCAAGATTATAATGATTGGAGAAACATTTTCTTGAGAGTCTGTTCCATAGAGCAGTGGTTCGAAGGAAGAAGCGGTTTGAGTGGAACTTATTTCTCGCCAATGGAATATGTAAGGAATGTGGGTGATTTTTTACTATGTAAGTGACATGGCAGGTCCTAGCCATGCTGGTTAGACCTGTCAGAACCATGGAATGTAAGAGCAGTCCTTTCTGATTAATGTAACAAATATAACTAGACTTGCCTTATTTGAATAGCTGGGGTAAAAAAAGAGGCAAAAAAGGTATACATTTTGGACAAATGCGTTTATGAAAAGATAATAGACAGACTGAAGAGATCTTTACATCAACTTTTTAGATTTAGAATTAAATTTGAAACAAGATATAATTTACCCACATTAAATATAGTATGGATATGAGTGCAGTATAAGTGTTATCAGCATGGGAAGTGGGGCAAATATTTCAAGTTCAATTTCCATCTGAAACTTGCATTCATACAAATACCCGTGGAAAGATATGAATCCATCTCTCTTTCCCCACAGGTAAGAATTAACAACAGGACGGAGTGAGCTTTCTAGCATTTTTTTTTAAAGCAAGCCCACTTTAGAAAGACAACTGTAAATTCAAAACTAGCCTGGTGGGACTAGCAAATCTACCCTCACAGAAACCTAATTGCTACAAAAACCACCGGAGCAACACTATCATGGTGAGACTGTGACCCTATAGTCAACAGGGGGAGTGTACAGGGTTAATGGACATGTATACATACATTGGAGATATAGTCAAGGCAGCAAAAGACAAAACAGTATCAGGAGGGAAAAAAAAAAAAAAAAAAACTGTGTTACTCACAATGTCATGAGCCTTCAAGATTAGAATTTGACCAGAAGAAATATAATGAATATATTTTCAATTAATTGAACAGAGGATAAATATAGTAACAAAAAACTTCAAAACAAGAAGCCATAATTGGAAAGAAAAACAATTGTACTGGCATTTCCAAAGACAAAAAGAATTGCAGATGAAACAATATGGTTATAAAAAAAAAGACATAAATCCTAATTAATGGTAGCTCAGAACAAT